AAATAAATAAATAAATAAATAAATAAATAAATAAATAAATTTAAGGACAAAATGCTTAGAACACTTTAGCTGCATTTTATTGGGTTTAGAAGATGGACAGCAGTAGCTAGCACTAACCAGAGAAGCCACCAGACAATGAAACTTTACAGCATCGAGCAGAAGTCCAGTCAATGTTGGCACATTGGCAATGACACTGGTTTTCACCACGGATGTCCCAAGAACCACAGGCCATTCCACAGGAACATCCCGTGGCCTTGTAACCTGTGGGTATAAAAAGAGATTGATAGAGGACTGTACAGCCTAGCATCAGATATGAAAGATCCCTACTACATCTCACACATGTTGCAACAAGGCTAAAGGCTTTCACAATGGAATGGCCAATTAGCAAGCTACGCCATCAGCCAAACTTATGCAGCATCAAATCATAGCTTGCATGTTTACATCATTTATCCGCAAAATAAGCAGACTTCAATGGAAATGTGCATCTCTATCTACAGAATGCATTATCTTCTTGCCCTCCCCTCCACACACCTCCCTCAACTCCTGATTTGCTCCCAATCAGAGCTTCTCCCACACTCACCAGAAGGGCAGAAGACATCAGCACCTTGGGCTGACACGCTGGTGCAACTCAGCTCTGGCACAAGCATAGACACTGTAGGGTGAGATAAGGAGTTATTATTTGCCACCTGCTCTTCTTGCTCTCAAAAGAACTAGAGTTTTTTTTCTCTTTATGCTGGTATACTTTATGCTGGTATTTAGGATCAGTTGGAATTTACTCTCAACTTCAGGGAAGCAGGGGTGCCCTTGTATACATTTACCGACAAAAGTAAAATCAATTTCAAGTATCTGTGGCTACCTGCTTTATTGTAGTCTCCCATGACCAAGACCAAAGAAATGTTGGCCTGCATTTCTTTGGCCTTTCCCATCCTAACTGTAGCACTAGATGGCCATAGATCCTAGTCCTTTATGCTTTCTAAAATATTTTAATGTCTTGTTGAAGGCTTCCATGGCCTGAATCACTGGGTTGTTGTAGGTGTTTCGGGCTGTATGGCCATGTTCTAGAAGCATTCTCTCCTGACGTTTCACCTGCATCTGTGGCAAGCATCCTCAGAGGTTGGGAGGCCACAACCTCTAAGGATGCTTGCCACAAATACAGGCGAAACGTCAGGAGAGAATGCTTCTAGAACATGGCCATACAGCCTGAAACACTTACAACAACAGAGTTTTTAATGTCCATGCAACTTATACATCTCAGCAAAGATACACAATAAGCCTGGAGGAAACCTGAGCATAAATAACATGAGCAGACAGTTATGGTCCTGTAGATGTTTTTGACATTCATTCTTTTTAGTTAGCAGTGAGGGGTTATAACAACAAAAGTCCAAAACATCGGGTCATAATTTTCTATTCTTGGGGAAGTGTGCAGGCTGATCTAAGTTTTGTTTAACATTATTATCCTCTTACTAACACAAAATGTAATAGCCTAGGTAGGCAAGAGTCTGGGACCAGTGTTTGTGTGGTAGACAAAGAATGGGTAACTATTTGGGGATAGAGACCACATAATCCACAGAATAACACTTTAGGGATCACATGAGTGAATAAGGCTGGTGAGCCATTCTGTAATGAAACAGAATTCTCCACATGAGTCACCAAAAACAAGATTATCTTAAGTGTTAGACCTGCCCCCCCCCCTCCCGCACACACACACACATTTTATCTTCCACCCAGCTACAGATACTTTATGTCATTAATACCTGGAGGGCAAGCAGAAATCTGATTGTCACCATTTCCACAGCCCTACATTTCTAATTTGATAAAGGTTGCACCTATTACTTTGTCTTTGTACAATGACAGCTGCTATAGATACATAGTCTTAACTGTGGATAAGTGTGTGTAGGAGGTGACATCCTATTGAATATACCTATACTCTGACTCAGCAATGATTCTGCATAGGTCAACTCAAAAGTTAATCACTACATATTAATAGCAAGCAAAGACAATGGAATGTAAAATGTAAAGTTGAATTCTATTCTTCCTCCATCTTCATTAGAAGTTATTTACCATGGCATTATTAACACTTGACAATGTCTTTGGTAAATGAGCTAATAGGAAGGTACTGGTGTTTATATGATTTTAATGCCTTTTACCTGGTTTTTATAATGTGTGTTAAATGTTTTAATTTTTGTTTTTATGATCATTGTGGCATCGAATTGTGCCAGTGTAAGCCGCCTCAAGTTGCCTCTGAGCTGAGAGGGAGGGCACAGAAATACAGCAAATAAATAAATAAATAAATAAATAAGGTATTGTTGCAGCATGTCATTTGACCTGAAATGCTGTGTCCCATCTGAAATCAGTGGGTCTTACTCCTATGTTACATTGCATTTCTGTTTCATGCTGAATTCCTATATGCAAGTACCAGGGAATCACCCCTTCCTGAATATAGTAGAAATAAGCTTGGGGCAAAGATTCATTTTATTGTTCTTCTGGATCAAATCTTACATGACAGAAACCATAATTCTATTACGGACACATCTAGGAAGAAATGTGCTTTTATTTAGCAAAGGGTGGGCAAAAGACCGGGAGAAACAGAATTAGTCTATCCAAAAAGGTACAGGCAAACCCCAAGTTACGAACAAGACAAGTTCTGTAGGTTTGTTCTTAAACTCAATTTGTTTGTAAGTCGAAACAGGTACATTTTTCAGTGTAATTTCAGCTTAATATATATACATAAGAACATAAGTCTAAAATTTAAGGCAAGGCCGAGTAAATGATCGTTGAGAGTTGCACCAGGCCCTCAGGCCTTAGTTTGGGGACTCCTGCATTTCATCTAAGGGCCCTTCCACACAGCCATATAACCCAGAATATCAAGGTAGATAATCCACAATATCTGCTTTGAACTGGAATATCCGAGTCCACACTGCCATATAATCCAATTCAATGTGAATTTTATACACATTCACCAAGCAAGAAGCAAAGGGGCCTTCTTGGTGGCTGCACCCAGACTCTGGACCTCCCTCCCCAGAGAGACTGGGGAGGGAGGTCCAAAATACCCCATCCCTGCTGGCCTTTCAAAGGCAGTTAAAAACATTACTCTGCCTTTCATAAACCGATGACACTTTAAAAATGTGTAGTTGATTTTAAGATACATTAACATTTACTGCATTTTAATACTTTAATGTTTAATGGTTTTAATAACATCAAGAGTTTTTTTTAAATTTTCATATTTATATGTATTAACTTGGTTTTATATGTATTGTTACTTGCCTTGAGCCCTTATATCTGGAGAAAGGTGTTTTAATTAGTTAATTAATTAATTGAAAAGGAAAAATGTGAAATTTTTCAAAGACCAAGGAGACAATGAGCTTCAGAAATTAAAAAAAGGGGTCCCCATCCAGCCCCAGACAGAAATACCTTTGGAATCAATGGCAGCATTGATCTTTGCATCGAGAGCGCTATCAACAGAGCATGTCTGAGCACTTGCATACTTTGCAGGAATCAGCACCGCAAAGAGGAGGACCAAAATGGCTTTCATTTTCTTGTTGGCGTATAACACCTGTAGAATAAAAGTTATTGCCTTTACATCATATATTCTGCCATAGCAACAAAATCTACCAAGGAGAGGAGAAGCACTTTTTACAAAAAATTACAGAAAACCCATGCTATTTTATAGGGACCAAGTAAAATCACAACAAATACAGCAATTAGCTTATAATCAAGTTGTCTTTTTGGTGGTTGCACCCATGACTTCCCAAAGAAACTGATTTCTTCCTTATAATGTCTTGATGCCAGGAAATGCCCAACTGATTTCCATTCTTGTTTCAAATTTGCATGCTTTTAATTCACTAAATTTCAGAAATCTTACATCTTTTTACACCATTTCCTTGCTGAAGTTTGGTATTTTTAACTGTATTACTAATGCTTATTTTATTTTAATATGTAATTAACTTATTAACAGCACTGCAAAGTGAATGGCACAAATAACAGAGAGTCTCCTATAATGACCATCTACTGCTGGAACAACTCTCCAATATAGTGCCCAGCAAGGCATTATTATTGGATTTGAGGGGGCAAGAAGCCCTTTGAAGCTGGTTTTTAATGGATTAGATATTTGAAGAAGAGAGAGATGAAGAAAGCACTAAAATTCGAGCAGCAACAAGTTATAATAGCAATATAACAAAAACCCACTGTAATAGATACAAGGGAAAAAAACGTTCTAAATGCTTTGGGAGTACATTTACGGTATCATTATTTGCTTATTCATATTTATAACTGCCTTATTTTAACTTACTACATAGAGTGCAATCAGGTCTTATCAAGCCTTGTTGTTCGGTTTGGTATTGTGATGTGGCCAACGGCTAATCAATAAAATTATTGTTGTTATTGTTGCTTATTCATATCAAATCTGAATCTAATAAGAGGAATTACTGCATGTACTTCATTCAAGGTTTAGAAAACATCTCCTCTACTAAAATATCAACTAGAAATTGATAGATTTCTTCTTTTAGAAACAAAGTATTAAACAAATGACTAATTTATGAGCCAAAGTTAAACATCCAAATTTCAGTGTTTGACATGTTTCTGTTAAGAGCCTTCCAATGCAATGCCATGTATACCCAGAAGAATATCTCATTGCATTTAGTATAACTAACTCCTATGTAGATAGGTACTATGATATTTCTAATATGTAGCTGGAAAAACAGAAACCTACTTTCCATTATTTCTGCACTTGCTTTTAAAAAGGAGCAACACAGCAGCTCAGACTCACCTTCAGAAGCAAGAATTTCTTTCAAAAAGTTTTGTTCACTGAGCAAACAGGCTGCCTTTAAATAGAGCAGAATTATAACACGTCACATCAGATTGGTTTAGTTTTTCAAAATATTTAGCAACCACTCCCATTACAAATACACATCTTGCTCACAAAAAGTAATGTACCTCAGGGCAACACCTTGCACAATGATCTGAAGAAATGTACTTGTTTGCTCAAAATGTATTTCCTGGAAACAAGAAAAGGACAAGGCATGCACTTTGTCCAGAATATTTACAGATTGCAATCTCTTGGCATGAAAGGTATTTAACATCATTTGTAAATCTGCTCTCAAAGATGGGAAAGTCTAGAAGAGGGATTTCCCAGAGGAATCACAGAATTTCACAACCCCAAATACTCCAAAATTCAAAATTGTCCAAATAGAGGTCTGAGATAGTGATGCCTTTGCTTTCTGGAGGCTCAATGTGCACAAAACTTTTGTGCATATAATTATATTCAGGTCATATATGAAACATATATATGAAACATAAATGAATTGTTTTAGTCTTGGTCCCAACTCCAAGATATCCAAGTGTGTAAATATATGCAAATGTTGGTGATAGACTTTTGATTTGTTTGATATGTTTAATCATTTGAAAGACAATTTAATTGATACGTATAATTTTTTTACATTTTTATAATATTGTGTTTTATTGTTATGTTATTGTCTGGCATTGAGTTATTTCCATAGTTTGTAAGCCGTTCTGAGTCCCCCTCCAGAGGTGGGAAGGGCAGGGTATTAGTACAGTAAACAAACAAACAAACAAATGCAAGCATGCCAAATATCTCCTAAATTCAAACTTCTAAACACTTTGGTTCCCAAGAATTTTGGATAAGGAACACTCCAACAGTACCGTTTTGTTTGAACCATGCTAAAAAAATTACATCCCTCTTCCTTTTATAGATTTTCAAACAATAACATTGCTGTAATTTTATTCAAATACCTTTTAAAACCCATCTACCAAGTAAGTAAGCAACAAATCTGTCTGTCTATGTATCCACCTATCTATTTATTTCTATGGCAAGTGGCAAAGAAAAGTAGTTGTGAAAGTTCAGTATTTGCTCACATTATTTTGAAACATGTTGGACCAAAGAAGAAAACTATTATCTTCCACTGGACAGAAATGACAATCAAGAGAGCTGGACAGATTCTTGGAACATAAGAATTTCTGACTTCAGGCATGTGGGATTGTTTGTGGTATAGTTATATCTCTGTATAGTTGTGAAATAAGAAAGTTGGCACAAATTGAGATAATTCATTTGAAAGGGGGTGTTATCTGCTGATCATTTTTTTTTTTGCTTTTATCCCCTGCCCCCCCCCCCCCCCCCCCCCAAAGAGAGCAATGCAACACATTTCATAAAAAACAACTGTTTCCAGACCACATCCTCGAGCACTGGCTGAACACGTGAAAGGAGAGTGGGGTTGCACTTTCTGATCCTGATTAACATGTTATTTACATTTGATTGAAAAGTCCAAAGGATATATATATATATATATACACACACATTTAAATTGTTGTCCATAGGTTCTTTTTAAAATTGATCTATATTAATTTTAACAAACACACACTAATTTACAACAAAGTAAATAGCACTGAAGAAAAACCAAAAAAAGGATTTTACATATGTAACAAATATGAGCAACTAAAACTAAACTCCCTTTACTAAACTAACACTCTGAAACTTTACTAAATCACTGATCTACCACAATATGCACAACCAACTAAACACTGTATTCTCGGGGGCTTTCATGGCTGGAATCACTGAGTTGCTGTGAGTTTCCACTACTTTTTGAGTGTTGTTCTTTATTTACTGTTCTGATTTTAGAGGGTTTTTTTAATACTGGTAGCCAGATTTTGTTTATGTTCATGGTATCCTCATTTCTGCTGAACAGGGGAATTCCAGACAAGAAACAATCAGGGCCAGTTAACACCTCCCAACAAAGGATTCCCCCAGGCAGGAAGCAACCAGGCTTTGAAACTGCAAGGCTAGTCCATGCTAATCAAGCTGGCCAATTGCAACATAATAATTGAAACAATTATACTCCTTGTTTCATGCATTCTTTTTGTGTAAGGCAGGGGTGTCGAAATTCACGGTCCCTCAGCATGTTGGGGGGCAGACTATAATTTGGAGAAAAAAAACATGAATGCATTCCTATGCATATTTCTTATTTGTAGCACACAAAAAGAAACCCATGAAAGAACAATACAATATATAAAATGAAGAACAATTTTAACGTAAATGTAAACATTTTTCAAAAGGAAGTATGCGCTGCTTTTGGTTGATGAGTGAGTCAAGTTAAATAGGATTGTTGTTGTTGTTGTTGTTTCCCTTCAAGTTGTGTCAGACAGTGGCATAAGTTGCTTCAGAATCTGGTGGAGTCTTGAACAGCAAGGACACAAAATTGGCCATAGTGTTGTATGGCCCTCCAGATGTTGTTGGACATTAAGTTTAGGAAGCCCTAGCTAACTCAGACAATGCTGAGGGATGCTCACAGTTGTAGTCCAATAATATTTGGAGAGCCACATTATTTCCATTTTGCACATGTCCTTTATAGAGGACATGTGCAAAATGGAAAGTACAACAAAATAAAATAGTCAAAACAAATTTAATGAAAGCCAATAGATTTCAATAGTTTCAAATCTCCTGACACCTCAGAATGCAAGGACATTAATCCTTTTTAATGTCGTGAACTTCCCCTCTTTTGACTGTGGGTTCTACACACAGCATCTAGCAGCATAAGGCAGGGAGAATGTCACATACTCTCTATTTCTAGAAGCTGGCTGCTTTGGCACCTAAATCTCCCTTGTACACTAGTGATGTGACAATGACATTTTCTGTCAGACTTGACAACAGCAAGATTTCTTCTCTACTGTGTGTCTTGAAGCCAATCAAGACATCTTTAAATGATTTGTCTGCAAGAAGTCGGGTAATTATAATGTGCTGTGGCATCATTATGTCTGTTCAATGTGTTGCAGGAAGGCCAGAGAGCAGTAAAGTCGTGGGTTATCCCTGCTCGCTTTTCCAGGACATCAGTGCTCTACACAAGCATCAATTCCTTCAGTGGCAAAGTAATGAAGAAATATAGGACAACAAAAATTTGCTGGTTCCCAGTGGTATCAATTGGAAAACTCTGTGACTCACATTAAAGGGCTCTGTGATTCAGCCAAGTAATAGATTCACATGCATTATCTATGTCCTAATGATTTCGGTCTGATTTCTGCCCAATTTCTAGCCATTTCCAGCTGTGTTATGCTGTAAAACAGCTTGTTTTATTCCTGCTTCACCCGTTTATTTGTTCTTTTTCCTAGAACATATATTAAAGTAATCTAATTTGTTTGCCCGTTTTCATGGAAGACATGTGGAAATCATGTAACTTTTATTTTGAAATTTAGGATTATCTTGTTTCTCCTCCTCCATTTCACTAGGCTATTCTTCATCTCATGCCCACTGTCTGGTCCCAGATCCATCTTCAAATTACAGCTATTTCTAGATTATTTCCCCAGTTTTGGATCTAGCAATGGTCTTAAGCTCACATATGAAGTTTCATTAGTGCTCTGTTCATCAGCTTTGAAAAAACTGTTTAATAGCTGCATGCTGAGCATACTTCCTGGTCATTTGTAGCCAGTTTTACATTATGCTTCCCCTTTTCTTTAGAAACATTATGCTTCCCATTTTCACTGTTATATGAATTTTAACACCTCTGTGGGTAGGTCATCACTGAATCAACTCCGTGGTTGTTGCGAAACAGACAGTGCTGATTTTGGCTTACTGCAGCCTTGAACCATGTTAACAGAAGTTGTAAGTCTGGAGTAAACTGTGGCTTGGAGCATGTGTGACCTGCTGTGCTACCTTGTATTTGGAAAGTGCCTGTAATTGGTTGCACACAGCTGGGGGGTGGGGGGGGGGCATCTACCTCTCCCCTCAATCTGTTGTTGCAGTGCCAACTCAACATGAAAATGGCATAGCAACTGGAATATACAGAGCAATGAAGCAATTGGAGAAGGATGGGGAGAAAGGAGAAGCAATTCTTCCTTTTCCCTCTCCTCTCTTTCAGCACGGGACACTTGTTT